ATCAGATTTTTCATGAATTAATTAATTATATTTCACAATTATTATATTAAATTAAATATTTAACTGTAATATAATATAATTAACCCACCCCCACCTCACCTCACCTTCACCTCTGCTCCGACGATTACTCTAGTTACCGACGACCACTCCGATGACTGTTTTTCGGCCATAGATCAAAAATTTTGTAGGTCACAATTTATTTCGAGGTCACAAATCTAAAAAATTTATAGGTCACAATTTTTTCATCGGCCACAGATCAAAAAATTTGTAGGTCACAGTTAATTTGTTGGTCACAGATTTCAAAATTAGTGGTCACAAATCAAAATTTTTAGGTCACACGGTCACAGATTTTCAAATTAGTTGATCACAGATTTTTTCACGATTACAGATTATATAATTTTTAGATCACAGATAACAAAATAGTTGGTCTCAGATTATATTTTTAGTCAGAGATTGACGAATTTTAAGGTCACAGATTACTTTTTAGTCATAGAAAACCAAAATCGCAAGATCCACCACCACCACCACTTATGCACTGTCCACTACCACTGCCTCCACGACAACCACCACGACCAACATCACCACTACCCAAACACCACCGCTATCGCCGTCATCATTTTTGTAACACCACCATCACCACAACGCACCAGCAACACCACACACGTACCACTAGTCACTACCGCCAAAACAATACCAGCAGTCAATCTGCTGCGGATTTTCACGGAAATGCCTCAAAAACTTCAAAATAGCCGCATTCACATCTTGAACACTGATGTTAGTGCCCCAAACATACATTAGCGAGGCCTCATCTATATCATCTCCATCACCAGCATCAGAGGAAGGTGGAGCATCGTCCGTGGACGAAGGTGTGGCTGCAGTCATTGGAGTGGTGGAGGATCTTCTACCTCGGCCCCGACCCCGGCGAGAATTTGTTTACTTTAAACCTGGGTGCTTCCTCTACGTTTGATTCCATCTAAAAGTTCAGAAATCAAACCCAAATTCATGAATGTAAACTACAAATAGCATACAATTGGTAAAAGCTCGAGATCTATACTCAACATAGCCATGGTTATATATGACCTTAAAATTCAACGGTGGCGACGGAGGTGTAGCATAAGAAGATCGAAGGCCACGTTTTGGTGCCTGGAATCTCCGGGAGAGGAAAATGTATTGCCTATTAGGGGAAACGAGGTGGGGGAGGGGATTGATAAATTATGGTTTTAATATAGCACCTGATTTTTGCAAAAATAAATTTCAAACCTGATTTTTTAAAAGTTATACCTGATTTTTAAAAAGGTCAAAGTAAACCCCTAATTTTATGTAGTTTTCCCAAGTTAAAAAAACAAAAAAAAAACCCAATAAGAATTATACATTTACAAATTTCAAAAACCACCAAAAAATCAAAACAGTCCCCCCACCTACAGTCTCTGCCCCCGACCGTGACAGCAACACGACTCATTTGGCCGCTGCAACAGCTTGCATTGGTGGCAGCCACTCGGCCTCCGGTCCCTCTGTAGTTCAGCCGCCTTCTATCGACAAGACTTTAGGCTAGTCGGTGACTATTATTTTATTTATTTTTTATTGGTTTTTGTTGTTTTAATTATTTTGTGCTTTAATAATTTATGAGTTATGAGTATTGAGTATATGTCAATTGTATTAAAAATTAATTTGAGTATTGTGAATTGTGAACATGTGATTTGTGAAAATTGAAAATGAGAAATTGGGGAATTTATAATTTGTGATAAATTGGTGTCGAGAATTGAAAATTGAAACTTTAATCATATTTTAAAATTAATTTTAATAACGTTTAATCTTTGACTAACATTCAATTCTAATATAGATTATTGAGCGATTTTTCCAACTTAAACAAAAGCCCCAACCTAGTTGGTGCATCCACCCTTGCTTCTAGTCGAGCAAATAATTTGTTAATAAAATATGAACTTAATATATTTCAATATAAATGGCGCCCCCCGGGGCACATCCAAATCTTAAGATTTCCACAATGGCGCCCCCCGGGGCACATCCAAGTTGGCAAATGATGGGCACTGCTGGGCTTGCAACCTCAGGGTGGGGAGTTCGATTCCTGGATTGAGCAGCTGAGTGTTGTAATACTCAATTTGAGTGGAGCAGCTTGGTAATGTAATATCCATGGAGGAAGGCTCCCTTGGGGCCAGGAG